TGCAAAATTTGGTCTGACAAGTCAATTCCTCCCATGTTTTTATTGTATGCAATAACGGTGTTTGGTTTTCTGATAGTATCACCTGTCTTTCTGTCTTTTTTATGAGTATCAACCATTTCAGGATACTCTGTAGTCGTAAGCATACTTACCAATTTTTTGTCCTTCCATAGAAGCAGACACATGATTGGAGTACTAAATACCTTCATTTCACCAACTTTCAAATTTTTTGGTTGAACGTTCGGCAAGTGCCTACGATTTAACCTGACAGTTCCGACGACATTAGTTTTCTCTTGTATCAGCTTCTCAAAAAGAAGAGGAGATGTGTACCAATTGTCTATGTACAACGTACGACCTTGTCCAGTCAGATCTCCCAGTGATTGTATTACCGCCATGCCAGGCACTCCAAATCTTTTATCCATTTCTGACTTATCGGAACACTTACCTGTGTACACTTTACAATTGTTGATGTAGCCTGTAGCAGAGTCGCAGCATTTGTACAATTTGATACCAAAACGAGCACGTTTAGTCAAATTACACTGCTTGAAACTCAGATGACCTTTGAATTTTAGAAGAGATTCGTCAATGCATACATTTTCGCCTGGTCTATAAACTGCCTGAAATCGCTCCACTAAGTATTCCAGTAAAGGACGAATTTTACGAATCTTGTCTGTACTTACTTCTTCATTATCAGAAAAGTGTAAAAATCCTAAAATGCTTTGAAATCTTCTGAGCGTCATACATTTGTCAAAGATTGGCGTTTCTAACAGAGGGTTCGTGGACCAGTACAATTCATAAGATGGCTTGCGAATTATACCCATCATAATTATTAATCCATAAAATGTATACATTTCATCTGGTTCTACTGGTTTCCACTTCAGTATTCTGGAATTCTCTTTTAGTTTCCTCTGAGCGCGCAAAGTTGTTAGCTTCTGTTGTTGGTAAGTATTGATTTGGAAGCAAATTGAATCCATCAAATCCTCTGTAAAATACAGTTTGAATACTTCTAAAGGTGTTTTACTCTCGTCTAGACCAAATCCTGGTTGAATACCTGCTTTTTTATCTGTAAAGTCATGAACAGAAGGAGTGAACATATTATTTGCACTCCATGTCAAGTTTTCCACGTGTTTATTCCATCGCATCTCTAACGGAACATCATCAATATCAGAATTATCTTCTGTGTCCAAATCATCAATATTTTCATCTTCGCCACTCTGCTCTTCAGAACTTTTATCTTCGCTTTCGCCTGCCATCCACTCTTCATCATCGGTACTACTGTCATGAATGGAATCATCTAAGTGCGAAGAATCATCCGAAGATACATCGCTCTCATCTAGTTCCATCATTTTTCCAGATAAAAGTTTCTCGAACAGGAAAAATAAAAATTTGAATAAATTCAAATGGCATGGCTCTACGAATGAAGATGACAATACGGTTAGAACCGGTTTATGGTGAACCTCACTTGTTATGTATATAGTATATGCATCAATGAAGAGGTATTATTATTATAAAGTGTTGGTTTTAGTTTCACTTTTGTTTTTTTGACGCAACTACACTACTTTTTTTACTTACTGTGTATGAAACATGTACCAATCTTGTGAATAATTTTACTCCTAACATTTCAATTCTGAATTTCGAAATTTTTACGTCAGATTTGAATTCAGTGACTCCAAAAACCTAAGAGTACTAAGCATTGCGGAAATTGAAGAAATTTATGCTTTTTTGACTGCCATGATGGATCGGCCATTTTAAATTCCGAAATTTTGACCTCAAATTCAAATTCAACGACTCTACAGTTTCATAAAGATTGATTAATATTTGGCCTCTGCCAGAAGTGGCACGGAAAGTCAGTTTCGCAGTACCAGTCAAGGGGTTAATGGAAAACCTGTTTTGTGTATTTTGGGTAACCCATAGGCTCTAGGTAGAACACCATCACTGCAGTACAGAGTTCTGTATTCTGAATAATTAATATGTTCCTTGTTCTTCCAACCGGTAAGCAAACTTCTTAGAGATGTTGTGAGTTTTTTAACCGGGTCTTTATTTAAAATAGTATAAGTGTCTCTATCTCCAAAAACTACATTCATTTTTTTAATGTAGTCATCCCTATCCATGGCGACAGTTACATTACCCTTGTCAGCATGGGTAAAGATGACTTCATGATGTGCAGAAATAAAATCGACCACCTCACGTTCCATTGATTTTAATTTTTTGTCATTAGGCGAAGTAAAGATAGGAGCAGATACAAAGCCATGAAGAATCGGGATTGCATTATTAGTAATAGCCATTTTTTTGCTAATATCCATTTTCATTGTGCTATTTTCAATGCTTTTAATACAATCGAAAACAACACTGTTATTACTGAACTCTTATTACTGAAAGGAAGCGCAAATCCCTCACCAAGTTGTAAAAAGCATTGTATATTAATTGGAATATCTATTTCAGATAAATTAATAAACCATTTATCTCTAATTGAATTTAGTGAGGATGATTTTAAATGGGAAAAGGCTTCGGGAAAAAATGAGATAGTCTTGAGATATTCTGTTTCTTGATGAGAAACCACTGTGTGGTCCGACGTTATCTTATGAGAATTAATATTTTGGTGATTATTTATTGCGTATTGTATAGGGGCTATGTCTTCAAAAACTTGTTTCTCCTTACTTCGTATAAGCCAAGAAAGTTTGTGATCAAGTTTATTTACTATAGATACGTGGACGATGTTTGCTTGGCTGTTGATTCGTCGGATATTAACTTATTATTGTGCAAATTTAATGAATTTCATCCCCGTCTCCAATTTACTGTTGAAATTGGAGGTGATAGACTGGAGTTTCTAGACGTCTCTATGATTAAGAGGGATAATAGACTAATTTTTGACTGGTTCCATAAGCCTACTTTTTCGGGTAGATTTTTGAATTTCCTATCCAACCACCCACTGTCTCAGAAAAGAGGTACAGTCTTTTCTTTAGTCGATAGAGCCTTTTTTTTGTCAGATATTAGTTTTCATTATAAGAATTTTAACTTCATTATTAATATTCTACTAGATAATGATTATCCCTTACATTTCATTTTTAATACTATTAATCAACGGTTAAAATATTTGTTAAAAAATAAATTTATTGTCAATGACCAACCTACTAATACTCAAAACAATTCAAAGTCTGTTTCTTGGCTTACTGTACCTTTTGTTCCGTGTCATACGAAAAAATTTAAAAGATTTCATAATAATGATATCAGAGTTTCTTTTCGTAGCCCGAATAAAATGAGTAAATATGTTAAAGTACAAAAAGATGCCCTTTCAAAAGACTCTAGAAACAACGTAGTTTATAAAATTTCATGTAATGATTGTGATGCTTCTTACGTCGGCCAAACAAGTAGACAATTGAAAACGAGAATTTCCGAACATCGTAATCATATTAAACGTAACACGACAACTCGTTCAGTGATTACTGAACATAGGTTACAGCACGGCCATGACTTTCGATGGAATGAAGTAGAGATTCTTGATGAAGAATCGAATTACAGGAAGCGCATAGTGTCTGAAATGATTAACATTGAAAAACAGAAGAACAGTTTGAATTTGCAAACGGACACTGAAAACCTTCATGAGACATACATTCCGTTGATAAACAAAATTTGACTTTGCTGTGCTGTTTCCTTTTTAGATCATAGCTAATTTTTGTATCGTACAGACGTGTTAATTTTCTGCCTTCGTGTCGTCGTAAAAGACTAACAGATTTATTATGGATTTCGACAATCTTGACAACCTTTTATTTGATAAGTGTGTGCTGATGTATCCATGTATTAAGGTTTGGAAACTTAAAATTTTAGTTCTTGTTAATCATTTATGTATAAATAATCCTATAGTTTGCAGAAAGTTAATGTCTTAATTCTTTTATAGATTTATTATTGATCTACCAATCGTTTATAATAATATCGGTGATATTATAATACTACTGTAGTATTTATGCGTTATATGTCTGATTGTATCAGCGCGCAATTATGGGGGGACTACATATGTAGTATATATAAAAATTCACACATATTTATAATAAGCATTTTGATCTAGCTTTGACCGTTATAGGCGATAATTCTTTCCTTGTTCGTTTATAATAAATTCCTTACCTTGATGTCGGATGCATCTTTATTTCATCAATGATTTATCTGTACCATGTTTTTTCGTCTGTTACTTCTGAGGAAGACTCAATCCACGAGTCGAAACATGTGAAGTTTTATAGATTTTATGATTAAGCTTATTTATTTTTGTATTAAGTTTGTTCTTGTTTTTTCATATTTATGTATATTTTTATATCTTCGAATTTAGTCTTGTTTTTATGTCATTTTATATTATTTCATTTTATCTTTTTACTACGTGATTAAAGAAATTTTAATGTTTGACTCTTCATTTGTCTTTTTAGTTTCTATTTATATTTTAGAATAAGAATCCTTTACTTATTTATTTATTATTGTATCAAATAAGTTTTATCTTTATTATTATAAAAGAATTGATTCTTTGTGCGGTATTTTATCTCAGATTTATTGAAGAGAAAATCCTGAAAAGAAAGGCAAGAGTCTTTTAAATCAATGATACTTTTTTTCTTTTCAGACTTTTCCTATCAACAAAGTACATAGAATCAATTTTTTTATAATTACATAAGGAATAGAGAATACAAATTAAGGTATCTACTGTTATGTCGTCCCGGCCTATACTAAAATAAAATTAAAGACAGGAATTCGGAACGGCCTATGGTAAGATAGATCTTTATTTATTGGAGTTGTTCGGGATTCACCATCCTCTGGCGTACCTGTGAAGTAACAATCACGGTCGATTCCGTACTGGTGTACGGCCTATCTCCTGATTCGATTATGTATCTGCGAAAATCGTGTAATAGGTGGCTACATGTACCACACGCTGATATTGGATTGCTACGCGGAAATAAACTGTTACACAGATGGCAACGGTCGGATGCGTCAAAAGCTCCTATATGAATATAGTGGCGTGAAATACTTGTATATTGACTACGATCATAAGGAGACTTGTCTGCGTAGCAGACAGCACAGATACTAATATTACTCTGTTGATATTGATGGCTTATAGCTGTGCAACAGAGAGCAGTATTGAGCCACGCCTGATACGGGACGCTAATATTATCCCGGAGGATGTTATGATGTATCGGATTGAGTGGCGGACTCATGAGTTAAAAGAAATGATTTAATTTATAAAACCGTGATTATATGAGGTACTATCGTGTCGTAGAGGAAAATCTAACAATAAGATCTGTTTCGGAATCGTGGATTTAACCTAAATATATACGTTTCGTGATTAACATAAGAGTTCGGTCGTAATGTTGCGCGGTCAGTCCGAGCGCGTAATGTAAATACTTAGAGTACGTGACTCAAAAGAGGTTTGCGGGCCGTTAGACAATGCCGTTTGTCTAATGAGTCTGGTCGATGTATAACACAATTGCGTTTGAAATAGTTCTTACCGAAATAGTAGAGGCAATGCTGTCACCAAATTTGTTATGTTACCTATGGCTCCTTCGTTCGTCAGAGGCTCTTTGAAAGAAAGGCTTCAGTCAGCTTGGCTTTCCAGTCGTTCAGATATGTGAATTATGGTTCTGTCGATGCTGGTCTTTCGTCTTGGGATTGAGTAGTGCCGTAGTAGTTGTTTTATAAGTTTCATTTTATAATAAAGCAACTAAACAATAATTGAATAATATAATAAGAACTCGCAATTATAAAGTTATACGTAAGATATGTTACTGTGCTATGAGTTAGAATATGAATTAGGATTAGGATTAGAATATGGATTAGAATTAGAATTAAAAGTAAAATTAACGAATATGCAAATAGAACTTAAACTTAAGGAACTAGAGTTAACGGATATGGAATTGGAATCTGAGTTAGGAATAGAAAATCTCTAAAGATCTCCGAATCTTCTTCTTCTTCTTCTTCTGAGCTCTATGGGCTCTTGTGCCCTTTTTAAAGGCCTTGTTCCTAACAGGGTGCGCCCATAGGTAGGGAGTACATAAGTGGGGGTCACCTTGGTGGTGATAAAGTTAGGATTAACATGTAGGTAATGAAGGTGTCGGTAGGGAAGATGTCGGTAATGAGGATGTTGGTAATAAGAATATGTTGGTAAAGCATGATGGTAAGTAGAGTAAGGATGGTAATAGGAAAGAGTTACAATTATCCTCTTAATGCTATACTTATATCTAAATGCACATAACGCATATGCAAAGAAAAATAAAAAGAGGAAATATACGGACGGGAGGGACGTAACACTACCAAACAAATAAATAACAGATCTGGAGACACGGTAGTGTCTCGGTAAATAAGTAACCTAACCAAA